AATGCTGCAATTAAGCAACGGCCACGTGTTATGGTTCACTTGTAACTGGCTGGACGTTTTATCACATAGATAAGAGATTGACCTGGCTTCACATTATGCAAACTTAAAATGGCTGATTACGCATTGCGGCATGCAGACCCCATTTTTGAAAGTTTATAAACAAAAGCCAACTCACAGTCAAGTCCGATGTTCTCTTCTCTTGTAGATAGGTAACAGGTACTTCAGAAACAGGTAGGTCCTCCTGGAATAATAGTCCTAGAGTGTGGACAGGTACACAGGAGACAGGTCCCACAATGTCAGCTGTATATTAGCAGCATCTCAAGCCTGGGGTGTAAAAGAAATACACATTCAGAAAGATCACAGGCCAAATACTAGTACAACAATTACTCAAAGAGCATCATACATTGCAATATTCACATGATTTGTTTGAGTTCTAAAACCTGCTTTGGGTCGGGGGCCAGAGCAAATTCTGAGTGGGGAACTGAGAGCAGAGCAAAATTGCAGTCAACAATCAATCAAAAGTCAACATATTATTAGGAAATGACCATGGAAAAATCAAAGTATATCTCACATGAAATACCTCAGAACAGTCACAGAATGCTATCTAATCATCAGTTCAACAACATTCAAGCACATCTCATTTTTTTTATTCCAACATGTAATCACCAGACGTGGTGACGACACACTCAAGTTTTATCAACTTATATTAATGCCGCCACCAACACAGGGGACAAATACATGACAGGACAATACTCATTTACACCTGAGCTAAGTGAGGAAAGTCGTGTAAAGTGCCTTTCCCAAGGGCACAAGATCGGTGGAATGTCAGGACTCGAACCCGGGACTCTTACTTCCGAGTCGCACACTCTGCCGCTACGCCACACAACCCCACATATCTCATATTGACAGAACATTATGGGAAAAGATGGCTTACATAATGCATATCAATCAGTAAAAAAAAAATCGGAAAACAGGAAGAAACGAGCGTATCTAATGTAGTCATGCTGTTAGTTCAAAACGGACAAGGAAATAGCGTCCCCGAACGGCAGCTTTTGACTAAGTGCAGGTTTAAACACAGGGAATCAATCGTCACCGGCGCAAATAATTTACGCCATTCTGCGTTTTAGTTTCATTTCATTTCATGCCTTCTTTTTTCTTCTTTCATTGTGAGGCAGCCACCTTCAACTAGCTGAAGATACTGCTGCCCTTTTTTGTGGCTAATACGGGATGGGGTTCGCCAGGCCTCCGTCCATTGAAGGCGTGTAAAGTGGCTTTCCAAAGGACACAAGATCGGAGACATGGCATGGCATGGCATGCATGCAGAATTTGAACCCGAGACCTCTTGGTTCTTAGCCGAACGCTCTGCCGTTGCGCTACACGACCCCAACGAATTGCAACGAGTTCGGCCCAAATACGAGAACACATGCTATTATTAATGTTAAGATGCGACTCACCTCCTTAAACGGACGTAGCTCGTCTTAAAAGACGAATTTTAACCACCGAGTTCTTCCCTGTCCAAGCGCCGTGACTTGCCATCTTGCTCTGAGCAGCAGCGTGGTCTTAACACCTGATACGGAATCACCATAATTTGCATTCTCTCAATTAGATAATTAAGTTATGCCATGTTGATTTGATTATATGGATAACATCCACCTGGAACCCCAAAACTGATGCGATCGTGCGAATAAAAAAAAAACAGTTGCCTTCATTCTGAAATCTAGGTGGTCATGAAGGTTGAACAAATGAGTAAACACACAAAGTAATATTTTATTGGCATGGTGAATAATAGCTCTTCATTTTCATTCTTTATCTTTGGAATTGATTTTGGTATTCTGTATCGTTTTCCATTTTTTTTCGGTTTGCGGCATATATTTGCTCATTTTGCAGCTGCTTTGTACGATTTACAGTATGTCGCCTTTTCTCAGAGCGGTCGTCGCCTTTCCGAACGGTCGTCGCCTTTTCTCAGAACGGTCGTCGCCTTTATGAACGGTCGTCGCCTTTATGAACGGTCGTCGCCTTTTCTCAGAACGGTCGTCGCCTTTATGAACGGTCGTCGCCTTTTCTCAGAACGTCGTCGCCTTTTCTCAGAGCGGTCGTCGCAAGACCCATGTGTTGCAGTTCAAGCAAAACCTGATAGAAGTCGCTGTGATACTGTCCAAAAATGTGATAAGAAAATCCTCCAGTCTAGAATCATTTGTGGAATCCACCTTCGGTATGTAAAATAAGCCATTATCTACAAATTTTTTGTCTAAAGCAATTAGTAGAAAGTAGTAAGGGCTGGCATTACCCTAAAAGTTGAATATGTTGAAAAGCAAATGTTGCAAAGCAAAACTATTTCAGCCCAAATGTCAGGAAAGCACACACACACACACACACTGACATGACTGTCACATTTGATCAAAGGGCCTCAATTACTCCACCCTGATCCCAGGATTAAGCCCCAGGCTTCAGGTGGGACACCGCGCAATTGTTTGGGCGGAGTCAGGAGAGTTGTGCCACCTGTAGCACACCTGTGTACGTCGGTATAAAGGTGCTGTTGTTTAACACAGGTGTGATCTTGCTCTGCCTGGCCGGTCTGTCTTCCTGGCATACCTGGCATATATATTATCTACTCACCGTCGCAAAGACTTGCACAATAACAGTAGTGCAACTGTAAGAGCCCAAATTCTTCTTCAATTCATTTTTTAAGGAAGGAAATCTTCTTTCATTTTGCTTGAGTCAAATGAAAGATGGAATTCCCAGCTTAGTTAGACCTTCATGCACAACTGTTTAACTGCCTATATATAATACAGTTTCCCCTTTGACAAAGTTTCACATTTAACTTTCCAAGTGTCAGGATTGATTTTCACTTAAAGTCACGCTTCACATTCAGCCTGTGACACTCGGAGGGTTAAAATGACCAACCAATCAGAGCTGATTTCCGTTGGTGACATTGTTTTGAGCCCCTCCAGGGTGGTAGACTGACTGTCTTCTGTGTAAATTAAAGACAGTGAAACACCACTTACCCCCTCCCAGCACACCAAATGAAAGCATTAGGACATCAGGGCAAAACAAGTGTACTTTCAGGTTAACAAGATTTTGGGGGGAAATGTGGTGTTATTTTCTTCATCATAATTTTGTTTTATTTTTTTTCTCTTATCCATCTTTTCAAATTGTGCTAAGGCCACACCAATTTAATTTGTTGGTTCTCAGATTTTTTCAGAAAAAATTAAGACGACAGGGCAAAAATATTTTTTAAAAATTAAAAAAAAATTAAAACAGGTCTAGGCATCCTATTATAGCCCCAAATGCTATGATTTTTTTTCAAATCAGAAAAAAAATGAA